CTGATTTGATGTACAAAAATGTAATTTACTGTATATACAAGATGGAAAAATAACTGTTTAAGTGCAAACAAATCTGGCCTTTAGATGGATGGATAGATGATGGATAGATGAATACTATATTGATCCTGAAGGGAAATGAACACATTTGGGACTGAAAACAATGAAGTGGATAAGATGATGGATAGATGATGGATAGATGATGGATAGATGATGGATAGATGATGGATAGATGATGGATAGATGATGGATAGATGAATACTATATTGATCCTGAAGGGAAATGAACACATTTGGGACTGAAAACAATGAAGAAAGTGCGTACTAATAACTCAAATTAGGATTATGGGTAAAATGATAATAGTTTCATATAGTTTGACTGAACAGTAATAAACATTCAGCTGATCCAAGCTAAATATTTATTCTCTAACTAATTTGAATATTCAATATTACATTCCAGTTGATTGTACAGTCAGCGTGTGTTCAGACTCTTGGGTCGACACCCTGCCCCCCCGCTCCCCCCGGCACTGGTTATTTTTAAGAGCTGACGCAGAATGGCCCCACACACGGAAGGAAGCATTTTTGTTATTATGAAGCACACCTTTGGCAGATGCTCTATTCATAATATCAAGGTTATTAAGGTGACGTCAACTGAAGAAGATATGAGACACAACAACATACAACTGTATGGGTGTGTGATTGGAAGTGATTAGTATATTTAAAATGATTCAGATCTAGTTCATTTACACAGGCACCAGTGATCTAATAAGTCTTCGTGATGCATCACGTAGATGTTCATATTAGTAGTAACATTGAATTGATTTCAATCCTATATTAAGTGGATTTGACAAGTCATACAATGAAATGAAACAAATGATTACGAGCAACAAAAGTCGTATCTATCAAAGGTTTATGACTTTGGTTTTCTGACCATGTTATTTGTGGAGTGATCAGTGTAGTAGTTCCTTCATTTACTTTATGGGAAAAAAATGGTATTATATATAACGTCAGCAACACTGCACTCTATTTGGGTTTTTGATTTTTTCACATCTTTACTAAGTGGTTAAATCTTTAGTTTAGTTTTCATTTTAAAATTCTGGTTCAGGCCTGAATTTAAGGGATTTACTTTTAGGGAATACAACTTGTCTACGTTTTGCCTATTCCATCCTTGGTGTCACCACATGTCACGTAAATATCCAACCGTGCTCTGATTGCAGTCTCTTTTCTTAGCCAATCATTAACTTGTTTTTCCTATGAACTTGTGTACAATGTTTTATTTTGCTCAGGTCATCTCTAATCTTGGACTGCTAACGATTTCCTGCTTTGATTACTAGAAATGTCTCCTACGACAGCCCTCAAAAAACACTGTTTTTTACCACGAGGACACACACAAGGACAAAACCTTGCACAAAGTCTTTTCTCTGTAAATATAATATTTTACTCCTGTGATTGAACAACAGACAGCATCTGTTTAACAAGCAGATGACATGCAGTGCATGAATTATGGAGCAGCACACATGTGGTGATGAAGCCACCATGCTTTGGACAGCCTATCAGACATCATTCCATCCTGTCCATCCATATGGATGGACTCTTACTCATCATGTTGGTGCTGTCCACTGACCTACATCTCTACAAACACATTATCAACTCCAGAGGCACAGGCTGACAGGGCAGCTCTGTGTTTGACTGACACAATCTTGTCTAGGTTGAGGGATTTTTTTCCCCCCATTTCCCCTAAAAGGCTTTCAGCAAGAGTTTGGAGTCTGTCTCTCTGGTTACATCTTTGTAGTTTACCGAAAACCGTAAAAAAATACAATAAAAAAGGATGAGTTCCCCACAACAGCCTTGGTGTGCAATCTCTGCCCGTACACAAGAAAAGGCCCAAGACAAGAGATGTAAGAATGGCTAGGATTGTTTTTTTTTAAAAACTAGTCCAGGGCTCTCAGCAGAGTGCATATAAACATATAACTGCTGTAGTTCTCTCAGTTCAGATCTCCAGCAGGCATGTAAATGGTAGAGCGGAACTTTTCCAAAACATCAGTGTAATAAAGCAGGTTTAAACACAAGCTTGATGCCCAATACAAAGGCATGTTCATGTCTTGTGTACAAAGAGGCTGTTGTGGGGAACTCCTGTGTGTGCGGCTGATGACTGATGGGCCTGGCTGGTTGTAGCAGGCGTCCACCTGACTTCTTCTTCTAAAGACTGATATTGGGAGCAGGTCCTCGGGGAATTTTGGCCTGTAAAGCATTCGCCACTGTATTTACCATCTCTTTATTATTTAAAATAGCTGCTAATGAATTGTTTGCCAATTGACTCATTTTCACTGCAGCAAAATCAGGGCAGTCTGGGCAAAATACAAGATGGTTGCAGCCTTGAAGGCTTCAATTTTTATTCAACATATTTTTATAAGTTTCATTCAATATTTTCAGGGTTCATTCAATATATACAAGGATTATTCCTGAATGGCATGCCATATTATATATATATATAAATATATATATATATATATATATATTGAGAGAGAGAGAGAGAGAGAGATCGAGGTCAGTTTCTATTTGGTTGGAAGCATTTATAAAAAAATGTTTATCAGTTAATCTTGTCAGTTCCACACCAAAATAGTATATATATTTTTTAGAAGCCTTGATAATCGGTCACTGCTAGTAATTACCAGTAGCCAGTCTTGGCTTCAGACTCCTTGGGGACTCATCTGCTGGCACGTCTGAAATGTCTTGTCCTGTTCCCAGATCTTGATCCATATCAAATTAATTTGTGGAAACACTATGAGCTGCCAGTATTTTCTGCGTCTGGACTGCTGTTGACAAAATGTCCACAGAGCCTGAGAAATTTAAATATTCAATCAGCGTGGTCTGAATTGATTGAGGAGTTTAATCAGAATGTTCCTGGTGTGCACGTGATCCAGCCATGTTCTTGTTCTCCCTGTGTTGTATATATTCACCCAAAGGCATCATTTATTCATGAGCAGTTGTATACCTCCATGTACATTTCTTATACATATCAATGTCAGCTACGGTTCCACTGCTTTATTTATCTATTATATTACTGTATTACTGCTCTGTCTAACTATTCAGGTGTTTAACTACTTGCCACATATTACAAACTGTACCCTACAGTTTGCACACTGGCCCGTATGCCAAAAGAAATTCCATGTAGGTGAAAACCTACCTGGCAATGAAAATATTTTTGATTCTGATTCACCTCTCTAATGTCCTGGCTCCAAGCCCCTTAAGCTTCTGTCTCTCAGGTTTAAGAGGGCTGGTGGGAGGGGATTACAGGGAAGCAGACTGGTTTGAATTGGCAGGAGTGAACGCCACCTCCCCTGTGTTCCCCTCAGAAGTGGCTTCTGGTTATTTCATTTGTCTGATTGATAATTTGATGGAAACATCAGCTGTCTGCGTGCAGATCACCTTCAATGGGAGTATTTTTAGTGTACTCCATAACCTTGTAGAGGGTGAGGAGATTGATGAGGAAAACAGAGAAGGGATTTGTGGTCCTGCAGATGCCCTGAGTTTAGTGTACCTGTGTTCTGGCATAAATGACCAACATCTGAGAATGAGGCAGCGGTAAAAGAGCAGGGAAAAGGAGAATACATGTGTCAGATTTGATTTGCCTGTCAGAACCAAATGAGTGAAAATGCCTACATTTTTACTTGCTACATTTTCTGGATTTGGATTGTACACATTTGTATTTAGGTCACTGGACTGTGCAATGGACTCTTCAATATTCTTCTTCTTATTATTATATTTAATGTGTCTTATAAGCAAGGGCAAATAATTGCACGCACCATGTGCGATCTGGACTTATATTTCTTACTGCAGAGACGGTAGATCTTGTTTGTATCTTGAAATGGCCGATCATCTGAATTTTATTTTTTTCACTTGCTGAAACACAAACCTATATTTCTTCTTTTTCTCTTCACATCGAATAAAGTTTTCCTTTCACCTTCATTCCATCTATGTTTCTTCTACTTCCCCACTTTCCAACTCAGCAACATGTGTTTCCATGGCAACATTTGTATCCTTTATGTTTTCCCTGGTTTAATCTGCGCACTTCCACAGCGCACAGTCGGTCATTATTTTGGAGTTTGTCAGCAGGTCTGTCAATAACTCCTTATATAACCAGTGCAGTGCCAGTATAAAAACTAATTTTATCCATACAGGACCAAAGAGAGCTTGAAAAATCTGTGAGTTGTATTTTTGTTTTTTGCTATCAGAGTCACGTCAGCTCCACCTTTTTTTTTTTTACCTTAGTCTAATTTTTGCTTAACCTAAATTTAGCTCTTCTATGCAAACCTCTACAGACCTCTGAGGCATTTAAAACATTTTACTGATACATGTTTTTTTTATTCCTCAGTTGTTTATTTTGAAGGTCAAAGTTAATTAATTGTCATTGTGACACAGCACACAATGAAATGTGACCTCTGCTTTTAACCCATCACCAAAGTGAACAGTGGGCAGCCTAAGTGTGAGGGGACGGTCCCATTCTCAATGCTCAATACTCAGTGGCATTTTGGCAGCTGGTGGACTCAAACCTGAACCCTTCTGGACCCAAGTCCCTTTCCTTAACCACTAAGACACAACTGTCCATATTGGGTTTAATCCAATTTTTCCAGAAAAAAAAACAAAAAAAAACATGTTAATGTACAATAAAACATCAACCCCATAAGTCTTATTAGATTTACCAGACTATTTCCTTTATTACATAGTAGATTGGAGCCACTGACTGTAGAGAATGTCCTTGACAACATTCTCTTTGTGGTTTAAAAGAATGTAGAACTTTCTGTACTGATTGTCAAGAACTGGAATAAAGTGTCACCATGTGAAAACTAAGTATGTTTCTTTTTTGTTTATTTAGTTAGTAAAGCAGTTTAATTGATAACCTGTCAGTAGGAGGACTTGTTTTCCTTCATCGTGGAGGTACGTAATGGCGAAAGTATTTTTCAGTGTTTTCGTCTCACGTCCTTTCTGTGTCTTCTTCGTCAGGTTGCGAGGTGGGAACACCGTACGAAGAGGATCTCCAGATTGTTTGGCAGTCCTCGCCTGGCCTGTTACTGCCTGGGCTTCGTCATCCTGCTGCTGAATGTTTTACGCAGCCACAGGTGAGTCTCTGGTTCTATTTGCAATAGTTTACCTTCACCAATCAGAACCTCTGGTCAGAAAACTCAGAATACAGAGGAGTTTGATTATATCAGTACAAGTCTTAGCAACATCAGCTGCACTTCTGACTTGACTTGAATTAAAATGTAACTTTTTCTAACTGTTTCTAACTGACAGTTTGACTAAATTAAGCCCGACTTGATGTAACCTGTGACTTGATTTGCCTTGAATTATCCTGTGTGCATGAGGAATATGGGCTGCAGTTGTGACTTTTAAGACTTGAGACTCACTGCAGAATTGCACACTGGTGATTTTATTCAATTTCGGCAAAAAAAATCATAGTATTTTGTTGAAATTCTTTAAAAAAAAAAAAATCATAGTATTTTGTTGAAATCCTGTCTTTCTTTGCACAACCTCTTCTGTGGCATCTCCTTTATGCTTTACATACACACTTTGGGAAAATTGGTACATATATTGGTGATACCAAATCACAGGATAGTGTAGCAACATGTAAAATGGTCGAGAAATAAAATGTGAAACTTGAGCTTGACTTTTCCAGCTGTGAGATAGAAATACCTCAAGATCTTTTCCAACTTTTCTTTTTTTTTTTTGTACTTTGTTGTTTATTGAATTTGGGTCCTGCTGTGTAAAACCATCTCAGGGAAATGTTTTTGCCCTTTTGTTTTCCCACCCAGCATCCTTGTCTCTTCACTCAGCGTGAGTCTCTTCCTCTTCTTCCCTCCCTTGTGTGCCCACAGTCCTTTAAGTGCTGGTGTCAGCCTTGGTCTGCAATCACATGGTTGCCAGTGAAAGCTGACACACCTCCCACTGCAGGTTGAAGCAGTGACAAAGCAAACATCTACACAACCACACAGGATACAGTATGTCAGCGATTGAAGCTCTTTTTCCTTCTTCTGCCTTTTCCTCTCGCTGATGTGTGTTGCTCGGCAACTGCACATCTAGAACAAGCAGTGATTAAAAAAGAAAAAGAAGATCTGCTTCTGTAAAAAATGCTCATTCTTTATATATCCTTTAAGCTATATATAGGTGCAGGACAGAATTAATTCACTAAGATGTTTTCAAAGGGCAGGAGATGTAAAGAAAAGTTCATAACCTGGACTTAGTCATACAAAAGTATTTATTTGAAATTACAAGGAAAACTGCTAGATATACTTGTGAATGTAAAAGGAAATGGAGTACAGCGTGCGTGGATGTTTCTCTGTTTCTCTGCCTCTCAGGGCGGCCATCACAGCCCGCGGTGGAACATCTTCTCTAATCCTCGGCTGAACACAGTAGAGCTGCCACTTCTTCTCAACACAGCGGGTTTAAAAAGAAAACTCCAAATGTCACAGAATACCTTTGAGAATATCTGGTGTTCTCCTCCTGCAGATTCACACACACACACACACACACACACGTGCGCACACACACTCATTTTCATCTCCAGTTCGCTCTATAACAGATTCAACTGTATTTGTAACCACAGCAAAGTTGAATGATTTGATTAGTGCTTCAAGGCTGATTTTCTGAAATGAATGCCAGAAAATCGATTGATGAATCAGAACCGAAATACATTGTCATGTGTTGATACGCTCGGGCAACAGTAATAATAATAATAAAGCTGATTATAGCAGCTGATAATAGAATAAAGCTGAGCCTTTGGAGCAGTTGAAGAGCTGCCTCATCTTAGATATTTATTGTATTTTTGCTGTTGGCAGGCCAGCTAAATGAATTAAAACAGTGAGATCTGAAAAGCAGCTTATGAAAACTGAAAAAATAACCTGCGGTCATCAGTCAGTGCTTTACCACATTTTACTGCAGAAATGGCTTTTGACTATTTAATATAACCTTTGATGTTCAACAGTAGAAAAGATCCTTGAAATGAGAGGAACACAGGTATGGAACAACCAGGGAAGAACAAACCAAACAAAGAGCTGCTCTTCACAGGACATACTTTGACGTATGATAGAGAAGACCAGGCACGTGTGGAACTCATAATAGACCCTGCAACTGTCAAAATAAAGTCAGCACTTTTTTTTCACACCTTAGTGTGTGACATGTCGACGTGTCTGCTGTGAAAATCCAAAAACTCCGCTTTTTTGAAAACCTCAGTCGGTGTCCTCGGACACAGAGTGATGTTAGGACAAAACAACAGTCTTGGAAACTGCATCAAGGAGGGGAGCAAAGGTCAGTGTGACACAGAACAGCGTGGCTCGTCCATGCTCTGCATCAACACACAAAACTTTTTAAGAAGTCTCCAAACAGGGTATGTTTAAATAGGAAAACTGCTAAAATACCTACATTTTTGGGAAAAAAATCTTACACAGACTTCTTACTAGAAACAGATCAAATAAAAGCCTTCTATCAGAACAAAAATAATTGTAGGAATATGTATAATGGAATCATTGATCAATAACAACAACAACAACAACAGTGTTGCCTACCGCATCTTTAAAGCTGTCATTGACAGCTGATGGAGGAGCTTGATAGAATGGCCACAGTTCCATATCTGTTCTACTGGAAACAGCACATTACACTACAGTAAAACCATCCTCTGGAGGAAGAGCAGTCCTGCAGGAGGAGTTGACCAATTTACCGCTTGGACTAATTAGCTCGCTTCACCATTAGGCTGTTAAATGATCTGCCTCATGTTCTCGTACGCCGACGGATTCACTGCTGGGCTAATTACCTGACGGCTGTGTCTGTTTTTAGCTGCAGCGAATATTTGTGCTTCGATTAACACTCGCGCTGAAAAGTCAGGATTGTTATTATCATTGACATGGTGCACTGCCTCCTTGATTTCCTAGAATGACAGCCCAGAATCAACTGGAAACACAGCCATTATTATTATCATCACATACAGTAGCATAACAACATGGTTGTTTTATTCTGATGCACTAAATGATTCTTCTATGTTATTAAATGATAAAGTTGTACCCCAGGGACTGAGCAGTAAGAGGAGGCCAGCGGGGATGGAAGATGAGCAGAAAGGGTTTTTTTATTATTGACCGTGAGTGATAAATAATATTTTATTTGTTTTGAAATTGTTGCCCACATTTCATTCCCATGTAGTTTTCATTCACTCTGACCTTGCTCATCCTTGTGCTCCACTGCATTTATTTTGTCATATCTGCTGCACAGCAGCTCATAAGTGAAAAAGACTTTGTCAAACTCCCACACCGTGGCTTTCGTCACTGACTGATTTGTTCAATCAATTTCTCATGCTTCTTCTTTCTACAGTCAAGGGCTGTGAATAGGAAAAAAAACTCCATAGTTTACAAGGTTGACATCCATAAAATGAAAACTCATTCAACTTCATTCAAGGATAGGACTAAAATTCATTAATGAGCCACGGTCAGATGTTGGCCAGGTGTTGGTCAGGTGTTGGTCAGATGTTGGTCAGGTGTTGGTCAGGTGTTGGTCAGGTCAGGTGTTGGTCAGA